TTTCATAATGCAGTCATTTTGACTGCTTTTGGGCAATATAGGCATATACTAAGTTTCAGTCTTTCTAGTGTTAAAGACGTATACAATAAAACATGCCTTGCATGCAGTACGACTATGTGTACCCTTTTTGAAAATACAATTAATCGTATACTTCACATTGTCTATAATGCACATAATGAGAAATGTATGAACTATGAAATAGCCTACACGCGCAACATGATGATAAAAATAAACGTGCAACTACTTATAAATTTCTAAATGACTATGCAACGATCGACACCAACTTGGCTCTTCCATGTCTGCGGCGATTCCTCAGCTGCGGAATAACGTTGCGCACGATTTAAAACGGTTTGTCGTTCGAGGCTGGCTTAAAGACGATTCACGTCGCGACTACCGTTTTAATCGAGCCGAGTAATTCAACGACGGAAAGCGGCACTATTCTTTCACGATGAAGCGAGGCTCCATGACTCAGTTGCCGGTCGAATGCGGTTCGCTGCTGGAGTGCGCCGTAGACTTCGCGGAATCCGTTTTAATTATCTACTGTGCGCAAAGCGGATCGTGTGCTCTCTTTAAAAGAACAACGTAGCTGGCGCCCGATTCCCTTCCATGTTCAGGCCTTGTCCAAGAGAAATGAAACCTCTGTTGAATTATCTTCTATTTTTGCTGAACCTAATCTTGTCTTCCTGTTATGCTAATTTTTTCCAATATGCACGCTTTTGCAGAGTCACTCGTTTTACAAGTTTCTCTCTTAAGAGAAAAAGTAAAGAGGTAAAGTTGTTTTCGATGCTCTAACTGTTTCTTGTATGTAAATATTTAATTATTTGTTTGTTTGTTTGGTTTGTATAAAACGGAAGTCGACTGCGTGTTATCGGCCTTATCGACTTTTAACGCGTGCGGCCGGCGCAACGTGACTGGTTTGATAAGCAGCGAATAAGCATCCTATTGTGTACATCGGATATTTATTTCCGTTAAAAAAAAAAAACGGTAGAATGGTACGTTGAATGTAAAATTACAGACAAAATCTACATACCAGAACCGTTGATCCGCCTCCAATTTCAATTAAAATCGGAACTATCAAAAGTTTGAAATTGAATGTTCACATGAATTATATCACAATGTATTATCACACGAGTTATATTAATAATAAGTGTACAAAAGAATCTAAATAAAGGAAGTATTTCTTCACGGTTGCAAGTATGATTCCACGTTAAAACGTAAGAGAGGATCGTCACGCGACGTGCGATCGGTTCTCAATCATTGGTCGAACTATAGCACTTACGTAGTGGGGTCAGCGTTTAACCGGCGCGGCATGGTGTGCAAATTAACCCATTTGCATTATTAACGTATATATACATACAATTTTCTGGTTATTATCATCGAAGTACTTGTACATCAATATTTATTTTATCATTTTTTATTAGATTCTGATTATTTATTTATTCTACTGTAGAGGCGTGGGAAACGAATTTTCCGTTTGATAAAATACTGCAATTTTACTGGACGAAATATTATACTAATTTCTATATTTTATTTCATAACATTTCTGACCGGCATCGCATGATGCAAATAGGTAAGATTCCGTGAGTTATTTTCCTCTCATCCTGCAATTACTTGGCCGCAGAGCGTGGAATTGTTCCTCCATGTGGAAACCTTGTACATGATATGTGTAACCAAAACAGTCTTTCAATTCACATGACTCCATTATTTGTGGTAACTATTTTTAGAAACTCTTTATTCGTGACTTTCGATAGGGAAAGATACGAGATGCGTCGATGCATTTTACAGTGCGGGCTAATAAGCCAATCTGATGCATCAGCTGTACGTCTTATGTGCGTGATTCACGATTCGGATCACGAATAACACGTACAGTACCGATCAAAAGTTTTTTCAACGCTCCCTGAAGTCTCCTAAGTAATTAAAATGTATTTCTTAGTTATATAATCGTCGATTATTATTTTACCTATAAAAACGTGAATAATTATCTTCGAAACATTAAGATTCGATAATCGATAATTATTAATCGAACGTTACACGACGGTTCTATTGTTATAACATGATCTAATATTATTGAAGGAAGACAGTGGCTAAATTAATTATTATTATTTTTTTTTAGTAGAATAATTATATCGAATGCTTCTGTACCCAAAGTCGATAGATTGTTCTCCATACTTTTAACTAAAAATTGTCTGGTAACAACTGAAACCGACTAACTTTGTACATGTAACTATTGTACGTTTCATCCATTTAGAGATGAAATAAAGGGAGGTAGCGTTCCCTGGAGGACGAGGGCAAACATTTTCATCTCGCACCCCTTTTGTTCCGCTCGTCCATTGTGGAATCGCGTGGAATAGACGTCGAAAAAACTGTCGAACGGTTTACGTAACGGCGGACACAGTTCTGTCGCAGCACCGGTGCGGCGTGTCGACCGCAGACAGGAAATGAGGTAAATCCAAACGTGACAAGCAACTTCGTGCCATTCGAAAGACTAAAGTGTCGATTGATCATTTTGGTGAAAGATATTAATGACGATTGTCTTCGTAATTGTCACAGCGCTCGTTTCTCATAGAAGTTAATTCCATATGGAGAATGACAAAACGATCCAATTTTTCCACAACGCTTTCTGTTTTACATTAAATGGAAAAGAAATTACAATTGCTAATCAGTTGAGAAAGATACTACGATAATAATTATTTTCTATATTGCAGTGCCCGTAGGACGTTGAGAAATCTTGAATCGAATTAGATTTTTCTGTAGCATTTCTTGCACATCAACGTTGGAAAAGAATTACTGCCAGTTGCTTGAGAAAAGTACTATAATAATTATGTTTTATATTCTTGATCATCTATTGATGTGAACTAAGATCTTGGAACCTAGTTTTTCAGAGCATTATTTCTTTTGCATTAACGTGCACTTTGATGTAGAAAAGGAGTTATAATTGGTAATCAGTTGAGAAAGACAGTACGACAATAATTATAGTGTTTTTCTATACGCACATAAATACTGTAATAAGAAGTACAATTAGTTTAATCGTACGCGTATCAATTTTATGAATCTTTCAAAGAAACGTTAGAAGTAGAATAATCGGAGTTTCTTTATATCATTTTCTTGTTAGTGTTAAAGTAGAATTACACGAGCGTGCGAAGGACGTTCCGAAGAAGAAAATTAATGAACCAGCTAGTGGACGCGAACAGACAGTGTTCGAAATGAAATAGGAGGATCCAGACTTTACGTAAGCAAGTTGAGTGTTACTAAATTCAGAGTTTCGACGCGGGAATTTGTGGTCGACGTCCAAAACCGATCCTGTCCCTTGGTAATAGAAACGTCACACCGTTCGTTGGCGTTGAATGGCTTAATTAATTCAAAATACGTTTCAAATAATTGAGACACGATAATCGGTGCTACGTAACTCGGATATCAGGCTGTCGTTTACATATTGCATATATTTTTGTATCAATAC